CCAGCTCCAAGCCTTCAGAAGAGTGCACACAATCCCCCCTGGCAGGCAGCCACTTTTGCTGGAGGGAGCTGCCAGAGATTTTTGGCACAGAAAACTGAAAGCACGATTTTCCATCTCCTTTACCATTTTCCCCTTTTTTTCTTTCCACAAAATTTTGTTAGTGCAGTTGGGGGTTTTCCCCCCTTTCCTTTTGTAGGACTATTTATTAGAGTTTCTGGTTTATTATCGGCCCCTCTAGACTCTATTTCTTAACTTAAATTTTACTTTTCATGCATTTTTCTAATGCTCCAGCATACCCTTCCTCTCTGCTTTCAGTGCTGTTGAGAGTGCAGTCACAGAGCTAAAGGATGCACAAGTTATCTGGTGTTCCAGTAATCACCCAGATATATGGTGGCTCCTCCTTTAACCTGCTGTAACCTAACCCATATTTCACATGGTACGCATGCACCATGTCTAGCCCTTAAATTGCTTTCTGACAACCGTGCTTGGCACATGTTTGCCACTGGCTGGTGGCAAACACAATACTGTCACTCTGTGGCAGACTTGGTTATGCCTGTGTTTCTAGCATTGATCTCAGGCAGGCAGACAGCTGCCCATGCTCTGTCCCTCCCATTCTCTATTTACACTCATTCATCCCCAGGCCCACTTAAGTTTTCAAAGTTTCCAAGCGCCTTGTGTTGTTGTCTGCTTCAGAGAGTGCTAAGGTGCTACCCAGTCCGGGTTATATTTGCTTTAGTGCTAAAACAGCTTGCTTATGGCTCAGTATCAACCAAAACGTCATTATTTTCAAGTACCTGCAATGTACTTAATTAGAACTGCTGGAGCAGCCTCTGGACATGGGGTGAGAGCTGTGCTTTTTTAAAGGTAACTCTGTGTAACAGAAAAGCCTTTCCTGCCCCCAACAACCCAAAGAAATCAGGCAAGCACCGAGTGCAACAGAGCAGCTGCTTGACAGCTTTATTTGAAAACAGCTTAGAGAAGTACATGAAAAATACTGTATTCAGCTGAAGCTGCAGGGAACAACGGAAGAAAAATAATTAGCCAAGTCAGAAATTGGCTAAGGCACTGGGTCTTCTGAGCCTTCTATTTCCTTCAAAATACAAAGGAATCTTTAAATACTGAGTAGTAAACGAGACTTTGTTTATATCTTATCTTAAAAAGCCACAGGAAGAACAGTGTACCCTAATAACATCCTTGGCTTAGAAATTATTCAGAAGCAAGGGGGCCATCTGCTGAATTCCCAGTACCATTTTCTGCTGCATCCTGGAAGTTTCTTTAAAAGTTTTGCAGGCAAGTCCTTTTCAATGCCAGCTTTGCCACGCTTGTGAAGCATGGCAGTAAATCTCTGAGCAGGCTGAGCTGCAGGTGAGTATGACAGCGTTATCTATCAAGACTTCAAAAAGTAAAACCAGTGCACTGATCAATGTAATCTATTCAGGACTCAAAAAACCTGCAGACAATAGCATCACTCTGAAGTGTAAGTAATATCTCTACATCATAATGAATTTCCTTAAACAGCAATTTTCAGAGACAGAAAGTTTGCTCATAATATGCTCCTGAATATAACTTTTCACATAAATTATAAAAGCTTAAAGCACAGAATCAGCTGTGCTTTAAAATGAGCAGTTTCCTTCATGGGTTTGCTGTCCATTATCCTTAGTAATGTTGGCCTCATGTTCAAACTCAGCATTTCCTTCTTCATGTAACTCCATCAGACTCCCCTGATAAAGGATCACTGGTGACTGCTTCTAATTCCACTCTTTCTGAATTCATCACTACTAATTTCACAATATTCACAGCTAGTCCCTTCTCCAATATGTAAAAATGAGTAAAGGCAAGGTAAAATTTTTAAAGGATTTTATGACAACAGCACGACAAATTCACTACATACCCAAAGTGTCTTATCCTTATAGTTCTACACATCTTGTTCTCATTGGAACTGCTACAGCTAAAGGTCTCTCTGCATACCAGGAAGAGGGACCACAATTGCTTCTGGTACAATAATAGCAAATGTGATAAATAAATGGTACATAAACACCCAGACTGAAAAAATCCTTGTTCATAAAACCATGAAATTTGATAAAGGTGTTTAAAATATTCACCACTGTTCTCATTTCTTAAAGCATAGCCTTAAGTCTACTGACATTTCATGGTCTGTTAATACAGAACACTTTAAATATAGAAAGGTACATATTATCCATTAAAGGCTACGCAGACTCATGCATAAGATCACTTATAGTGTACAAACAGAAGACTGTTTAATGGTACAAATGATAAAATCAAATCTTCAAGGCTGCTTCCAATTCAACATTTTAAAAAAGACTGCAAGAAATAACTTGTATCATTGAAAGTTATAATCAGGAGGGATTAAATAAAAGCACAGCACAGGGAATACAAATAAATGCCACTTGCCTAAGACTTCTTCTTAAGTATAAGAAGAGGTCCCAAGTTTAACTTAATAGTCAGACAGTTTGTTTGCATTGTGTGGGGCATTTTTTCATGTTTAAAACAATTTTACTACCTCAGTCAATACTAAATCTCAATATGCATGACTCCCACATCTATAATGCAAAATGTGTCCAGGTGGTGTTTTTTGCTGTTCACTGTTACCAACTTGATGCACACAGATAAGGAAGAAGGATATGGTCTGGAAAGTTACAAATTTGTAGGGACATGCAAATTACTCACTGCTTTCAGTATTTAATAGCAAACTATTACCCTCTGTGCCAACTGAGCATCCTTTATTATCTCCTAAAATCTGAACTTCCATATCAAAATATGAAAATAGCCTATATAAACCAATAGTAAATTCAAAATACCAAACACATGAAAAAAGTTACAAAGCTACAATTACTCAGCATTAATAAAACTTTATCATGCACCTTTACTCCCATGAGCTGTCCAACACTCCCTCTCCAAAGGACTTAGCCTATGACCTCAAAAGCCTGACTAGCTTCAAAGAGTTGCCACTAAAAAAAGGCAGAAGAAAACAAAGAAAAAAAAATTTAAAAAATAAATATATAGAGAGAAATAAATTTTTTCCCTCAAGAATTCAGAATGAAAGCTAAGGATTGCTAAAATTCCGTCCTTTCTGTATAAATGGCCCCAAAACATATAAAACAGCAACTCCTGGTAATACAAATTTAGGAAACAAGATGTTCTGTCTTAGTGAAAAGTAATACGAAGTGTCCTTGCTACTTTTTTCAAACTCTGGAAAGCTCACATGAAAGAGCATTTCTATACAGTGAAAGAGACTTGAGATTAATTTTCAACTTTATAGCTTTTTCTCTTTTCCACTAAACCCTAGATGGTTGCCTTAAGACTAAGACGGCTCAATTTAAAACAAAAGCCTTTAAAAATACACCTTTAAAGAATAAGGAACATGAATTTTCATTGGTCTTCTCTGTTACTTACATATTAACAAAAATTGCTCCCACCCAGTAGCAGGACTATGACTATTTGTTAGTGGACCTGTGTTTAAAATGATGACTTGTTAGTGGAGTCAGACAAATTTCGTGAAGTATTTAGATGGAGAGGAGTGGTGTGCATACTCACTAGGCAGTTAAAAAAGGAAAGAAATTGGAAAGTGAAGGATTTGGAGCACAATATTCAGAGGATAGTATCTTCCCAGGCTTCTGATACTACTCGACTTGAACATCAGTTGTTTGAGTTCTACTAAATCAGAAGTATTTACAATCAAGCTTGTTCCCATTTTAGATCTTTGAGATCTTTTTTCCTTTTGACCTAAATTCGAACAGAGATCTCAGCAAATGTTGCCTGCATTTCAGGAGTGGAAAGTGGAAAGTGGATCAGCTCCATGGGTCAAAGAAGACAAACGCAGCTCAGCCAATGAGTGATGGATGATACCTGCGGCGCAGTTGTGTTACACTGCACGCGACAGACACAGCAGTACAAGGGAAGAACTTGCAAGTGCTCTATCAGAATGCTAGTGCACAACACAGAAGGGATTTTGGAAGCATAGTGAAATATGTGTCATTTTTGTTCATTGGAAGGCAAGAAAGAGAACGCAGACTTTAGTTCCCGTAAGGTATTTTAGGGTGCAGGTGTGTGGCGGGGCACAACCTGGCATTGCCGAAGCTCAGGGAATCCCACCAGTGGGCTCAAGGTGTCCCTGGTACTCGTGCAAGGCAGGCTCGGCGGATGGCACGTCCGTACCCCTCCGTATGGCACACACCGACACCCGGCACGGTGACAGGGAAAGTTCGGTGGTGACTACGGAGGCGCTTGCGATGCCACAGGCAGGCGGAGAGGCGGAGGAGAGGCAGAGGGGCATCGTCGCCGCCTGGGCACCTGGCGATGTCCCCCCGGCACCCGCTGTCCCCGGCAGCACAGGACTCCCGTTCGCCCCTTCGAAACGCCTTTAGCGACTCACGGACACCGTCTAGGGTAGCTCGACGGGTCTGCAGTCTCCGCAGGACCGCCCCAAACTTCACTCATGTTCTACCTAGACGTCGGTCTAGACAGGTAGCTCACAACGCGCCTCAGACAAACTCGCAAGTGCATTTTTTTGGCAGACGAATCCACAAGAACGATCGCTTCCCTCCTCCGCCGCGTCAAAACCTTGGACAAGGTACTAAACCGCGACACCTGGAGCCGACACGGCGCCTTCCCCTCTACCAGCCTCCAACTTCTCACCAAAGCATCAGAAATTAACCTCTCCCTGGGCACGAGCCCGAGACGCGGTGCACGGATAACCCCAGCTGAGCCGTACCCCCCCCGCCCCACTGCCGAACGCCAGCACCGCCCCCAGCCCCGTCCCCGCGGCCACTCGCAGGCAGCCGCCGACGGAGAAACTTTTCCGAGCCGCCCGGCGAGGCAGCGCCCACACCGGGGCCCCGCAGAGCGGGACCGAGCCGGCGCCCACGCCCCTCGCCCCCCGCAGCCGCGCCGCGCCGGCCGCCCCCAGCGTGGGCATCCGCCCGCACCGCTCCTACCGTGCGGGGGGCAAGTGAGGGAGGGGGCGAGGAGGTGGCAGTTACCGGCGAGCGAGCGCCCTTCTTGCAGAGCGGTCCCCTGAAGACGCCTTTGATGCCGCGGTAGTGCCCGTTGCTGAGGTGCCGGGAGCTGATGACCAGGTAGCACGCCATGCGGGCCCCCCGGGCGGGCGGGCTCGGGGTGGGAGGGCAGCCCGGCTCCTCCGCGGCGGCGGTGCGACCTCCGCCGGAGCAGAAGCCCGCATGAAGGAGCGGGCGGAACCGCAGCAGCGATCTCCCTGCTCCCGTCTCATCCAGCGCCCGGGTGAGCGCTGCCAGCAGCAGGATGCACTGAAGGCGGCGGCAGCCAGAGCACATCTGAGAAAGCGCGGAGGCCAGTCCGCATGCTGCTCCGCGGGTGGGAGACGGACCGGGGAGAAGAAGGGCAGAGCGCAACTTGCACAGTCCGCCGCTGCTACGGCCCTTCCTCCTCTCCCTCCTCCCCCTCCTGCTCAGACCAGGCCACCCGCAGCCGACATCCGGAGGGGAGTTTCTCCGCGGCAGCTGGAGCGGCGGCTGCTCCCCATGGCTGTCCCCAGCGCCGGGCTGGGCGGTGGATGCAGCCGGCCGCCGCGCACAGTCCCCGCCACCCCGCTCCTCCCGTGCGGCCGCCGCAGTCGGCGCTGCGCCTCGCCTCACCTCCGCCGGCGGGGGGGGGAGGCGGTGCGAGGGGGGCGGAGGAGGGGTAGGGCCGGAGCGGGGGCGGCGGCGGGTGGGAGGACATTGCCCCTCGCCGCCTCGGGGAGGGGAGCAACGCCGGCAACCCCGGGCGGAGCGGCCGGGAACGGAGGGGAAGGCTGCGGGGTGCTCCGACCGCCCTCCTTCTCTTCGCCCAACTTTCCCGTCCTCGATGTCGGCAGGTAACGTCCCTTCCCCGCCCGCCTCTGGCTGCGCTTCCACCTGTCCCTGGCATCACCTCACCCTCCTTCCGCTCCGCTGTCCCGTGGGCTGTCCCGGGCAGGGGACGTGAACGCCACGAACACTCGGCATCCAGGCGCGGTGCCGGGGAGCGCCGCTGCGCCGGCTGGGAGCCCGGGCTGGCCCCGGACTGCGGCGGGGCTGCCTGGACTTGTCTCCATCGTCCCCCCTGAAAGCGCGTGAATTTAGGTGCGTGCCGTCATTTACCACCTCAATGATTCACACAGAATCGCAGGTATGAAAATCTTCCCCTAGTAAATAGCTGGAACAGGTTGTTGTCTCTCCTTGTGCAAGACGGAGATGCGAGGTCCCTCGGACCCACTTGTGCAGACTCAGTTTTTTTCTCATCAGGTCACAAGTATCATGTCTGCTCTGCTGCTTGCTAAGTCGATAAAACAAATCAATAAATCACACAGACTTTGTAGTCACCTGCAGATCATTCATTTCTTCGAAGTAGATTGCTTTAAACTGTAGATAAGAATTGTTTCAGTTTTTTCACTTAATCTCGTAAAAGCATATGCTTTCAGTTATTTAATGAATGAAACTGATAAGCCACAATCATTCTAATTTTAGATTCTCAAGAGCTTTTTTCTATGAACCTAATGAAAATAAAAGGAAAATCTCACACAATCCACCAAACTGATAAAGAGATCATGACAAATCAAATGTTATTTTTTGACTGTTTATGTAACTTGGTGTTGTACACTCCTAGTATGCAGCATTGTATAGTGTTTCACATACCATATTACGTTTTATTACATGTGTGTATATGTACGTATATATAAATTGTCAAATATATTATTATGTATTTTATTAATAAATATATTAACACTGTTATAAAGAAAACATAATAATTCTGAATTTTGAATAAACAAAGTTGGAATAACCATATGTTAACCATCACACAGTGGTTTGCAATGTAAAAAACATTTTTTTAAAAAAAAAGCTAGTAAAATTGAGGTGTGAAATAAATGAAAGGACTTGGATCTTTGCGTTATGTGTGGTTGAGCTGTGGGACTCCTTGCCAAAGGGTGTTGTGGATCATAGATTAAACAGTCCCATGAATCAGTACAGATCAGGCTTTGAAGCCTGGAGTAATACAATGCCTGCAAAAGACAACTGGAGGACTTTTCTGAAAGAAGAAATTGCATTGTAAAGTGGAGTTTGAGAAATTGTGATACTGTACTGATAAAAAAAGTAGTCCACTGTTAATTTGGTGGTGAAAAGAAGCTTTTATGATTTCCTCCTACAAGTCACAGAAGTCACAGCTATGTGAGTGACTTGAAATTTATTCTTGTTGGCATATATATTTTCAGTTCTTCCTGAAATAATTCCTCTGCAAGCCTGTTAAAGATAAAAGTATTATCTTCACTTTGAATTTTGGTCTGCAGCTTAACTTTCTGACTCTGCACTGAATATGTATCTGGAAGTAAAGACAAGCACCTTTTCTCTTTGGCAATGAAATGAACTTCCAAAAACTTTGCTTCTCTATGATGCAGCTGTTGTTTCTCAGAATAGAAACAAAATGAGAATTTACATCTCATCTCAACAACTTGCATAGAGATCTCTGCTGCTTTTCTGCTGTGAAGAGACATGAAAAGTCCTTTGCCTCATGAGGCTGCTGATGCTCTGTTAGAAGGTGAGGGAGAGGGTGCAAAGGAGCCAGGCCATGTGCATAGGGAGGTGCATGATGATGTGTTCTAGCCATGTGGTCAGACTGGCTATGTCACCTGCAGGGGAGGTTCAGCACAAGCTGAAATGGTGCAGGGGCTTTGTTGTAGATTTAAAGGACACTACTTTCCTCTTTAAACTTACAGAGTCTTCCCCAGCTCATTTACTATTATTATGTGAAACAGAATTTATTTTCCCCTGAGTAGACTGCACCGTATTCATTTTATCCTGCTGAGGAGGATGATGTGCTCAATTGACCCTGCTGTGAAAAGTAGAAGTCATTTTGGGCTCCCTTCACTTTTCAAACTCAGGGGAATAGTTACTATGACCACCAATCTAATTTATAAATAATCTGTAGGACACAAGCCTGAGAAAATGAGATTAAGTGTTGTCAAATTGAACAGTTAGTTATTAATTATATCACTTCCCGAACATCCCCCAAAGTCTCTGGAGATGCAGCACCTTCTTGTCTTTCATCACAGGTCATGTAGAAATATGAGCCTTAACTATTAGTACTTTCATCTGGGTCCAATCCTTCACTACCTTAGATCTCATAAAGTAATTTTCAGCTGAGCACAGTGGATGTAAAATACTACCTTTCAAAACATTGTGCTTTCTTTGCAGAAGTGTTAGTGACTTTTCAAAATACAAGGAAGTAAGAGAAGCAGGCCAGCTGTCACTAGGAGATGATGATTAGAATAATGAAAGGTTTTCCAGTTCATCTATTCTCTCAGTTTACAAACTTTTTTTATTATTAATAAAGATTACTTAGCATTTATTGTGCCCTCCCCAAAAGACTCTGTAAGCACTTTCTAATTATTCTTTGTAGGGATTGTTGTTATTGCACAATGCGGTGTCTAAGTTAAATATCCATCCTAGATATGAGGATGGCAGTTTGATAAATATTCTCTGACCATCAGAACTGTATTAATGTACTTATATTCATTTTAATGGTTAATTCATATGTTTCTTTGCAGTGTTAGACAGTACTATGTAGAGATACCCATAAAACCTTGTCTGCCTTGTGAATTTTATTTAAATTGTAATTCACTTGTTGCTCCTGATCTGAGTTCCACCTGCACACATAGTCCATTAAACTGATATTGTCTGGTGTATAGATAAAAACTACAGTTAGCATGACTTGCCAGCTGCTAAACTAAGCATTCCTCACTGTGGGTACAGGCTAGATCTGCCTAAGGGCCTGACTTCTAAAATGTTTTCCACAATCCCTTTGGTGTCCCTAGAAAGAACAAACCTTCCCCATGCCTCCAGATATGAGAAAATTCAGAGTGCATGCAAAGCGTCTTCTGGCACTACACCTCTAGAAATTTTACTTTCACAAGCAAACAAGGACAGAAGGTGTGTAGACACACAGCTTGAGTACTGTTTCACAGTCTGATTATTCTCACTTAAGTTAACACGTTTTCCAGTGTAGAAGAACCCAAATTAACCCTGCAGTAAAAACATACTCTAATACGGATGTGATTTTTACAGGTCTTCCCCACAGTAGAGAGGGAGGGAAGGGAGAGGGGGAAATCAAAATCTTGGCAAGGCAATTCAGGTGTGAAAACACACAATGAGGTTCCTGAGGTATAACAGAAAGGTCTTAGTAGTGTTACAGTATATGCAGACATAAGAAGATTTTAAAGCTGTCAATTAAGCCCTGGAAATATATGTCCAGATCTTTGGATTATAATGGTCTAAACTAAAGTTCCCTTCACTCTGTTTCCCTAAACCATACATCCAGCCTCTCACTCCTCCATTCTAGTGGTCCACAGCTACAGCTAATTCCTCTGGGTTCACATGAAAAATGAACTCCTGCCCCACTGAAACCAGTGACAATTTTTGAAGTTGACAGAATCAGAGTTTCTTCAGAAACTTTCAACTGTTAAGCATGTTGATGTATGGTAAAAAACCTTAAATGTATGATTACATTAGTTGTCCTGTTATTCTACTTAAATAAATAATCTAATATCCCATAAGAGTCAATTGTTTGAAAGTTAGAACCATATATTAGAAACAGTCAGTATTTCTGTGGATCACATGAATAAATTTTAGTCTGAATATTTCATTTATTTTTCTTAGTGAACCATATTTGGGGAATGTTTTGTGAAGTTTCACTCTGGTGAATATAAAAAATACAAGGTAACCTGGTCTGCATAAAGCTTTGTTTTGTTTTTAGTGAAATGGCAGCTTCAAACCTCTGTTCTTTTTTTCCCCAGAATCTTAAAATACAACAATTATATTTTTTCCTGAAATAAATAATAGAAAAATCTTCTCTGTATCTGTCTTTATTTCATCAATTCATTTAGGGTATTTTGGTCCTTTCCTATTTTATTCCATTTGAAGTAATCGTAACACTGCTTATCCAAACATCTTTAATCCCAGACTGACTATTTTAACCTAAATAGTTACATTTGTCTTTCAAATCACTTATGTAAGCAGCTTTCTGTTACACAGAAGTTGAATCTGTCAAAGTCTGTATGCTTAAAGCATTGATGGTTAAGTTATTCTGCTCTCTAGTCTGTGCAGAATCAATGGACACCATTTTACTTTGGATGGAGCTTTTTGGAACATCTTAAGTGCTGAGCAGTCACTTTATAGTCTACAGCTTGCTATTAATACTGCAGCCAGCAAATACAGCATGGTGGTCAAACCAAAGTGTGTGTGTCTACATCAGTGAAGAGCAGTAAATCATGCCCTACTTTCTCTATAGGCTCATGCACCTG